TTCTATTTTTAATATAAGTGGATCCTTCGGGTTTATTGGTTGATAAGTGTAATCATTTATTGAAATGAATGATCTCAATAAATGTTCAAACTTATCAGCCATAATCTTTGCAGATGACATAAACTTGTTTTTATCTCATGAATATACAAATACACTTTTTTAAACATGACAAACGAGCTTAAAAAAGTTTTTAATTTGTTCAAAATAAATAAATTGCCTCTAAACATAGATAAAACTAAATGGACACATTTTAATCCACGTTCAAAAAAACAAAGATTGTCAACTTTATTACTTGACCTTTCTATTGACAACATAATTATTAAAAGAAAAAAAGTTGTAATATTTTTAGGAGCAAATATTGATGAAAATCTATCCTGGAAAAATCACATTGACAGAACCACCTCAAAAGTTGCACCTCGTTTTTGAGTTTGCTTTTTTGTTTCACAATGTTATTGTTCATAAATTACGCAACGCATAACTAATCTCTTTAAAGAAGTAGATCATTTTCATTTGTGAAAATGATCTACTACTTTAAAGAGATTAAAAGCCCTTCGCAATTTGTGATAATTAAAGCCTGAGAACAAAAAAGCCCTAAAATTTGAGACGCCTCTACCCTAAACGTGAGAGCAGCAAGTTGATAAAATATTTTTTTTTTACTTTTCTTAACTAAATTAATATTCATCAATAAATTGTAAATTTACTAAAACAATTTCATAAACATAACTATTTCTTGTTTATGCATTTACGTTTCTGTTGAACACCAGAAGTTAGCTCATTTTAAAGTTTGTTCCCTAATATAACCATTTAATTTAAACATTTGACATAAGCAAATAATTGTGGACAGAAGTAGCATTAGTCATCACGCGAAACCTCGAAATACAGCAAAAGCGTACCTAACAAAAATATACCTACAGTAAAAATTTGAAGGAATGACTCCGCACTCGAATGGGCTGTTCCGCATTCCTTTTAGAACAAATACTTTCAACCTTTTAACACCGTTCCACTTGGTTTACTATTCTACATTAACCCCTGAATATAGTTATACCTAATATCGATTTTTTCTTGGAATAATTTTCAACAAAAGTTAAAAGAAATTATCTTTTCACTAGAAAACATCTTTATCTATTTCTAAAGATTAAATATTATTAGTTTTATTTTAAATTTATTAATTTATTTAACTGTAATGTATATAACTTCGCCAAAATTGTAAAACTATACTATTTATATACTTTTGAAACTTTAAATTGTAAAAAGCTTCGTGATAAAATTTATGTAATCTTTTTGAAGTCCTTCCATTTTTCTTCTATTTACTTTCTATGTATTGTAAAGAATTGTTATGGTAAAAAAAATAGTTTTAAAAGACTATAAAGACGTTATGGAAGTATAACTGTCTTCCAAGATATAATCTAACTGTCTTCCAAGATATAATCATTTGTATAATAGATCAGCAAAATACTGGAACGAACTACCAGAGCAAATAACTTTGTACTCCGCTGTGCTTTCCTTCAAAAATAGACTAGACTCCTGGTTGTGGAATAAGTTTGGAACGAATATTTATAAAACTGGTTGTTTATAGTGGGCTGTTTTCCCTGCTCGCTGTATGTGTACATTCTATGTAAATTTACAGCTACAACTATAATAATAATAATAATAATAATAATAATAATAATAATAATAATAATAATAATAATAATAATAATAATAATAATAATAATAATAATATTGTCTGAAATGAAAACTAATTTGAAAATTTCGATTTTAACGTTTTTACTGTTTACGGAAAGGTAAAATAAGCCATTTTCTGAATATTTTAATGTTGGAAATAAAGAGACTTTTTACTTTTGACTATAAAAGACATTTTTTGATGATAAATACTTAACAAAAGTAAATAAAAAAAGAAACGATTCTTTGGGATAATTCTTAAAGTAAAACTTTAAATTTTCAATAAAACGCAGATTTTCAAATTTTCACGCAATTTAATTACAAATATTATCAATAATTTTGCAGATCTGTCTTTTATTAAAAATTCAAAATCTTATTTTAAGCCAAAAGAACGCTAAAAAAAAACAAACAGTGAAAATGACATGATTAACTTTGTTTATTGATTATAACTTGAATGACTATCACATGATGAATTTGCATGACGCAACATATGCAAGTTATGAAAATAAATTGTAATAAGTTTACTTAACTTATATTTAGAGATATATATATATACCTCTGAAGTTGTTTAATATTGTTATTAATATGATTTACGCTTGTGCGATAGCTTACTTTAATTTTTTGTGTGTGACTACAGTATTAACTGTTCCATTGTCCTCTAACTCTGCTGAAGATTGGGGTTATGTCAATATTAGACAGGATGCTTACACATTTTGGTGGCTTTATTCTGCAGAGGATGTCGAAAAAAGTTTGTCATTACCACTAGTGTTATGGCTTCAGGGCGGACCTGGCGCATCATCGACTGGTTTCGGAAATTTTATGGAAATTGGCCCGTTAGATAGTAACTTAAATCCAAGACAAAATACTTGGGTTAAAATATCGAATCTTTTGTTTGTTGATAACCCTGTTGGTGCTGGATTTAGTTATGTTACAAATCCTGATGCATATACAAGAAATGTAACTCAAATAGCTGAAGATCTTTACATTTTTCTTAAGTATTTTTTTAGCAAAAAACCTGAGTTTTCAACAGTTCCTTTTTACATAACATGTGAGTCATATGGTGGAAAAATGACTTCAGCTTTTGGTGTTAGACTATTAGAAGGTATTAAAAACAAGGATATTAATTGTAACTTTAAAGGTGTAGCATTAGGCGATTCTTGGATTTCCCCTGTGGACTCAGTTATGACTTGGGGACCATATTTATATCAGTACAATTTACTAGATGAAAAAGATTTACAAACTGTCATGGATATATCAAATAAAACAGCTCAAGCTGTGTTAGATAATAATTTTAGTCTTGCGACAGATTTATGGTCAGAAACAGAAGAAGTCATTTCCTCATTAACTGATAATGTAAATGTTTATAATGTTTTACAACATAATGCTCCAGAACTATTAACTAAATCTAATTCAAATAAATTTTATAATCGATATTTTGCAGTTTACTATCAAGATAACTTGAGCGATTTAATGAATGGAGCAATACGAAAAAAGCTGCGTGTAATTCCTGACTCAGTTACGTGGGGTGGTCAATCAAATGATGTATTTAAATACCAATCAGAAGATTTTATGAAACCTGTCATAAAAGCTGTTGATATTTTAATATCATCTGGAATAAAAGTTGTAGTTTATCAAGGACAGCTGGATATGATTTGTGATACACCAGGTGCTGAGTTATGGATCAAAAAACTACAATGGAATAAATTAGAGTCTTTTTTAAATCAGAAACGTATACCATTGTATGTCAAAGAAAAAGGATCAGACACTCAGGGTTTTTTGAAAAAGCTTGACAATTTTAGTCTTTATTATATTATGAATGCTGGTCACATGGTTCCAACAGATAATAGTGAAATGGCATTAGAAATGTTGCAGCAAATTTTAAATGATGATAATTAATACTGCGATTTGTATTATAATTTCAATATGTAATTTGTAGCTGTTTAATCACGATCATATTTAATTAAGTTACAAGATATTATTTTAGACCAAATACACTTTTGTAAATAGTTTATTTTAATAAAAAAATTATATATATATATATATATATATATATATATATATATATATATATATATATATATATATATATATATATATATATATATATATATATGTATATATGTATATATATATATATATATTTATATATATCTATATGTATATATATATATATATATATATATTTATATATATATATATATGTATATATATATTGTGTGTGTATATATATATATATATATATATATATATATATATATATATATATATATATATATATATATATATATATATATATATATATATTATATATATATATATATATACATATATATATATATATATATATATATATATATATATATATATATATATATATATATATATATATATATATATATAGAATATATAATAATTATATATTATATATAATTAATATATAATAAATTTATATATAATTAATTAAATATAATTAAAATTATATATAATTAATATAATAATAGAATATATAATAATTACATAATTATATAATAATTATATATAATATATATATATATATAATAGATTATATAATAGTTCAAGATATTTCAAGTTTAACCATTGTCTAATAGGGGTAAATCTAGACCATCTAGTCTGCGGTGACGATTTTTTATTTTTTATTTGGCGGATCAAGTAAATGAGGGAGGCAATTTTTTTGATTTAGCGGATCAATTAAGGGACGGTGGCAGCTTTTATGTTTTACAATTTTATTAAAATTTCATAGCCTTTTTAAATAGCTTGCCTTTAGACACAATTTACTTCATTCTTTTTCAAACAACATGATGTGTTAAATATAAAGATAAAGTTGAACTTACAGTTGAAATGTCATTCAAGTCCTCAAAAGATCTCAAAATATTTTAAATTGCAAAAATATATTCGTTAAAATATTTGAATTACAAGAGTTTTTAAGTTATAGGAGTTCAACCCTAAATATATAAACCTTGAAGGAACAGAAGATTTTGATTTAAATGATTTTTTTAATTATAGGATTCGAATTACAAAAGATGTTCGAATGCCAAAAGTTCAACTGTATACAAATAAAAATACCTTTATAAAATCCAAGGTGGGGAGTGGGAGCCTATATAGATCCGCCCCTGTGGTTTCAGATAATGAGTTCTATAATAAAGCTGTGTTCTAAGATTAGGTAAAAATGAGTTCTATAATAAAGTTGTGTTCTAAGATGAGTTCTGTGATTAAAAAAAACATTATTCAACATAAACTAATCGGATGTAGATTCATTAGATAAGTTATATTGAAAAGATAAAAAAAGTATAAAAAGGTTGCGCCACACCGGTTAACAAATTATGCAAGACCTATTGATTGTAAATATAATCGTAAAAAAAAGTAACAAAGTTTCTCTGATGAAAATCTATCATGGAGAAATTATATTGATATTAACTCCAATAAAATCGCATCGAAGTTATAAAGCAAGAAATAAAAATATATAGTGATATATATAAAGTAAAAGCAAATAAAATATTTATACAATAATGCTTTTTGTTTAATTGAAATCAAAAGGAACTTCAAACTAGTAATGCCCATCTTTGAAATACAAAAATGTTCATGCTATATGGAGGTTTTTCTTCTACAAAAACATAGTTAAAGAATGAAGAAATAGGCACATTTAGTTGTGAAGTAATTTCCATCTGCTAAATAAACACGAGCTGCGAGCTCTGTTCAATCATGTTAGTCATTTCGAAACTGAATAAAGATGGAATAGAAAAGACTATCTCTGAATATATAATATATAGTTATAACTTTGATATTTTTGATTCTTTCAAAAAAAGAAAAACTCTGAAGCTCATTGAAAAATATAAATTAACCAGCAGCTCTTCCAGACAATATGAATTTTCTACAGTACGAATTTTCATTATTAAAAGAAAACAACCTACATGTGAATGCACAAATCTCCTTAGAATTAGTAAAAAATTGAAAATAAATAAGGCTAGTTACAATTTTGCTACATCTCCTACCCATCTCTGTATGCCAGAATTGTCCATGTACAGTGAGAAAAAGTTTACCACACCCCTGCAATATATCGGTTCGCAAGCATAATTTTAGAACTGCACTGTATAGAGGTAAGTTACATGTACAATAATTTAACCTAAGATCAAGAAAATAAAAAAGTATTATGTAGATTCAGACAGTTGCTGATGTTAATTATATAATATTACATTTCAGATTGATAGGAAGTGATTCAATAAAGCTAGCAAACAAAGAATCTAAACTTTTTTAACACTGAAATTCCAAAGAAAAAAGAGTCAAAAGCACCTTCTCTTAAAAACAAAAGGCCAGCTAGTGAGGTCGCAAGGTTTAAAAATATATTTGGATAAAGTGATTCCCAAAAAACTGCTTGTAGTGTTCTTAGGACCTGGAAAAGTCCTAGAGCACTTGAATACAGTGCTCTAGGGTGTTTCTTTGACGTTGCAGAGCTTTAATTCGATAATCCAACAAAGCATTTAATCTACTGCAAAAATGTGTCTGAGCTTATTAATCAAAATTGTAGAAAATAAAGAAATATTCCCATATCATATTGTAAAGATTGGAATAGATGAAGGAGGAGGATTTTTTAAAGATTTATTGATTTAAAAGTAAACAAAACTAAGACCAAGTTTTTGCACAAATAGGGTATAAAGCACGACAAGTTCAATGGTGGAATAGTCAAGAAGCTTATAATTATAGCTATTGCTCAAAATATTTACTAATATTTATTTTGGCATTAAACTAGCTTCCTCTACTCACCCCTGCAGTTGGTGTGAACTGTCAAAGCAGGAAATGCAGGATTACACAATCTGTGATCATACAATATAATTGGGTATTAGTTTATCATTATTATAATTATTTTCTTTTGCGCAATTAAAATCTTATGCTGGATATTTTAATTCAGGATTTTTTTTTTCATTTAGAATATTTGATATGATTAGAGATAATACAGAATAGTACAAAATAGCTTATAAAACTTACAGAAAAAAACTAAACTTTTTGCTGCAGCCTTCAAGAATTGGAGTCTAAAACTCTCTGCTAGATCTACCAGATGATACACTTGTTTCAGAAACCCTTTTTTCAATTAAGCTTCTCCTATTTTGTAGAAATACAAGCTGTTTGAATAACATAGATAATAAAAATTCTGTCCAAAACAGAAACATCAGTGTGTATGAATATGTGAAATAAAGCAATAGGTTTTGGTAAGCCAAAAGTTACACAGTAGCCAGTTCAAGGGAGGACAGTGTTCAAAACTACTGGAAAACATAGAAACATTATAAAATGTTCTTAAATCTGAGTTCTATGTTGTACCTGAAAAATTAAGGAAGTAATGTGTGTAATTACAGCACTAAATAATGCAAAGAAAACTTATTTTTATATATTGCGTTGAAAAAAATGTTTTCTTTAGATATCCATGTGCCTATTTTTCCGGAAAATATATGACTTTTTTCGGAGATATGACTTTTCCGGAATTTCTATATCTTTGACCATGCAATCCATCCATCAATTTATTCGATATGTTTAAAAAAACAAATCAATATGCAAGGTTTTAAAAATATAGTAATTCTAAAATGCTGCTTTGCACCACTTTATTTCCTGTACGTTATTACTACGCTAAAATAAATTTATGGCTATTGTAACTAAATACGATTTGCATTATATTGTTTAAAGAACATAGCCATTAACACAAAATTAAAAATCAAAAAACTTAATTTTAGTTTCATAATATGTTTTATTTTATCATAAAAAAAACTTAATTTTAGTTTCATATATTTTATTTTATCATAATATAAATGTTTTTAAATTATATATAAAAAAAATTAAAAAAATTTCCTTTTATTGGAAAATGAGAAATTTTTTAGATTAACCCAATTTACCGTATTTAAAGCTGAACTCCAACTGTATTTCACTATATATTTTTCTTAAATACAAAAAACTGAAATATAATATTTACTAAGGAATAATAATATTTTAAATAATAAAATCTCCAGCCCCATTAAGTATTTCTAAACCTCTCTGGTTGGAAGCACTAACTTCTTATAAGCCAGTGCTTATTATTATAATTATTATGACGTTCTAAATGTCCTAATAAAACAATCATCATAAGAAGGGGGCCCAAAAATAATTTTGCACCAGCACATTTTTATCCTATCCATGGCCTGGACTTATATAAAATATATACACATGACTCAATAAAAACAAAAAATTTAATTTTTTTTTTTTGTAATAAATTAATTTTTTTATTCTCTTACTCAAGATAGTTTACTCTACCACTAATAAATAATGTCTTTGCATATTTAATTAAACATTTGCATATTTAATTAAACATTTGCATATTTAATTAAACATTTACATACTTAATTAAACATTTATAATATAAGGTTTACATTTTCTTTGTATATTTTATTAAACATTTCATACAGGATCTTCAGACATAGCAGGGGTCCGGTATAGAAATTCCCCTAAACACCCTCGCCAGTCGTACTCTGTTAATGGTTGACAAATGCCCTAGAAAAAATCTTGGTTTTTGATCTGAGCAGGCTTCTTAAACTGCTTATTATGACTTCAAATGGTTCTATGAGCAAGAACTCAAAGCTCCAATTATCATAATCAAAACTGTGGAGGTCAGTTATTGTTTAAAATAGAAGACATGCACATTTTAAAATTCAATTGAAGACATTTAAGGCTCACATATACTTTTTAAAAACTTTTTGTTTAAATTTTATCTTTTATTTGTAATTCATATGTATGAAAATGTAATATATTCAAAAATCAAGTCTCAATATGGTTTCATATGTCATAGTAAATAGTCAAACTTAATTTAAAATAAAAATGATCTATAATTTTCAATCAACCTTATAAAAACTTTAACCTTACACAAGGTATCAATTTGTTTTTTTAACATTGCAGCGTAAAATCATTTTAAAATATTTGTCCAAAAATTTATTTTCACATTTTGTCCAATAAATCGGCAACTATTATTAATATGAGAACGTATTACCCATCAAATAAAAGCTCTGTTTATTGTTAACATTTTGAGACTTCTTTTAAACCCTTAATGGTTCACATTATATTTACTTTGAGTAAAAATTATTTCTTTTGGTACAAATTATCATTTTAACTTGCTTAATCATTTTTTGCAATTTGGTTTTTGCTGACATAAGCAGTTTTTGAATAAATAATGGTAGCCATATGGATACTTCGAACAACTAAGAAAAAGATTTTTAATGAATTTTATTGATGAAACTAAATAGAGTTATTAAAAAAATAAAATTGTATATGTTGAATACTCAACAAAAACTCATGCATAAGTATATATATGTAACATATTTTTTTTTGTGTCTACAGTTGGAATATATATATATATATATATATATATATATATATATATATATATATATATATATATATATATATATATATATATATATATATACATATATATATATATATATATATATATATATATATATATATATATATATATATATATATATATATATATATATATATATATATATATATATGGATATATCGATATATATATATATCGATATATATATATATATCGATATATATATATATATATATATATATATATATATATATATATATATATATATATATATATATATATATATATATATATATATGTGTGTGTGTGTATATATATATATATATCAGGCTGTAGCAACCGGGTGGGCAGCAGGTACATTTGCCAACCCCCCTATTAATTTTTCAAACAAATAATTTTAAAGAAATTTAATGAAAAAATGACTAAAAAAAAAAGATCCTTAAACCTACTTTGGGGTAGTGTTGCCACCCCCAATACAATTTTCGCTCCTACGGATATGTGTATATATATATACATATATATATATATATATATTTTTTCAAAATTTATTCCAGTTTTCGTCTACCAACAAGATTATGAGGGCAGAACAGCAACTTTAAGTATTAATTGTCAAAAACTTTTTTGATAAATTTTTTAACCTTTTAAAATACAAAATTGAATATTACCCAACCGGCAGCATTATAAAAACTTTATTAACTCACAATTAGCAATATAATACTAAAAAAGGTCAAAAAACCCTTAGTAATTCATTAAGTCTGTATTTAAAAAAATCATGTTGAAACCCTAATTTCAAGAGTTTTTATATTTATATTAAGCTGATACTTTGACAAAAAAATAATGGCATTATGTATAATACGTTATCAACAAAATAAATAACTCTAGAAATTTTTTTTTTTTAAATATTTTGTCACTATATATTTTTTACATACCATTAACTTTAATTCACGTATACATTTATAAATAAGATAAAAATTAAAATATTGACAGGAGCAAGTAGAAGACTGCAGTCTTATCATCAAGCCCCTTTCATTTGCGACTTTGCAATAAGTTTCACGTGAGCTTAACGTGACACTAAAAATTCATAAGTAGAAATAAAGCAAATACTTAGCCTCGTACGTAAAAAACAAATCCTTGTACGTAACGATCTGATAGATGGGAATAGAAAAGAAAAACTATTTATATTGTGATATAATCATCGTTTGTGGTCATCCAAAAGGGATAAGTTCGTTTTACTTATTATTAAATTTGATCTCTAAAAGTAGGAGAGTATGTTGATGTCACTTAACTTAAATAGGTGGTGTTTGACAGCTGCTTTAAAAAGATTTAATGACTTCATGTTTTTTATTTCTTCTTTAAGGATCGAATTCTATAGCCGCGGACCTAAAGATAAGATAGAGAAATCAGTTATTTTAAGTAAAGTCTTCGGAATGTTAAAGTTTTGAAAAGAGTACTTTGTTGGGTATTTGTGATCAATGGTGGAAAATTGATTTTCAAAGTATTTTGGTAATAAATTGTTTTGCGATTGAAACATAAATAATACATTTTGGAGAAGGTTCATAAACATTTAGAACTCCAATTTCCCTGAATAATGGTTTGGCATGGGTATATCTGTTAGCATTGCATATAATTCGACACGCTTGCTTTTGTTTTACATATATATTTTTTAGTACTGAATAGCATGTGCTTGCCTAAACGATATTGCAATAGTTAATATAACTGTGAATGAACGAATAATATATATTTTTTAAGCAAGTTTTATTTAGAAGGTGTTTTGTTTTATGCATGATGCCAATTGACTTAGAGATTTTATTTTCGATGTGCAAAATAATATTCTTCCGACTAAGATTTTCTTGAAAAATCATTCCCAGGATTTTCATCGAATGGTCTCTTTCTATATTAATGCTGTTGATCATAAGCTGGGGAAGCTGAAGTTGTAAAATAACAGAGTTAGATGATTTGTGAAATAAAACATATTTGGTTTTGAGGATGTTTAAGGAAAGTTTATTAGCTTTGAACCACTCGTTTATGTTTTGCAGCTTGTGATTAACTATAGAAAATATTGTTTTTATATTTAATTGAGTAAAGAAAATATTCCTATCATCTGCAAAAAGAGTAAAATTAAGAATGTTTGAAGTTAAGTAAATATTGTTTACATATTAAAAATAGTAAAGGTCCAAGAATGGAGCCTTGGAGTACACCACAACTAATTGTTTGTAACCGTGTACATGCTGTGTTGTACGACACTCCTTGTTCCCTGTTATTTAAGTAATTTCTGAACCATCTTAGATTGTTGTTTGTTACTCCATATATCTCTAGTTTGTGTAGGAGGACCTCGTGGTCAATTGCATCGAATGCTTTTGTTAAATCGATAAATAAGGCTAGAGTATTTTCATTATTTTCGAAACCATTCAAAATTTTATTGACTAATTTAATTATTGCATGGTATGTTGAATGGCTCTTGCGAAAATCAAATTATTTGTTATACAGAACATTATTTATGATTCAATAATATCAAATACTGAAATTGATTGTAGCCATATGGCTACTGTAAATAATAAAGGGTTAAAGTTTGTAATAATTTTGAAACAACTCATGATAGAATAAATTATTTATTGCACATATAAGTAAAAATTCTAGACTTTTGTGTTTTTACAAAAACGTATTTATTATCTTAGACCTCGACAAAATGTTTCGAAAGTGTTATTTTCCGAAAGTAGATATATATCCGGGTTTTTTTAAAAAAAACTCCAAATTTACCCTCTACTTTTACATTCTGTACATGTAGAGATTGAATTTGGACTTCATGGTTCTGGAAATCACAACTATTGTCATTAGTTTTCTGATCCTCAAACTATAGACTTAAAGGAAACAAACTATATTTGTTCTTTAAATAAACAAACTATATTTGTTCTTTCTTAAATTTAAAGATTCAAAAAACCAAGTAATCTGGACTAATCCAATCCTATTAGTTACATTAATTTGGCAGGCTTGTTACTATAGTTAAAGTTAAAGAAACTAGAATGATAATATAAAAAATATATAATGTATAATAAGTATATATAATATAATAAATATAAATGAAATTCAGCCTATTCTTTAAGAAAGTGTTTTACAAATGGTTGTAAAAACAGAGGTAAGTATGGTTGATTTTTACATAAAAATGGTAGATTTATCGGTAAGTGATTAGATACTACTTTTATGTAGACAGACTAAAATTTATTACTATATTTTATCGAGCAAAAATAATATACTGAAACGTACTTTAGATAAATACTGACGGCTGAGTCAAGATAAAGACATATCTCATTACCAAGCCTTGGAGATGGATAGCAAGAGAAATTATCGTTTCCCTTAAAAGTAAAAAACCGTACAATGTACTAAGTAAAAATTTTTTAAAAATATCAAAAAACGTTGCACAATTCACTTCTTCAATCGTTTTTTAATTTTAACTTTTTTTAAGCTATTGTTAAGTTAAAAATTATTATTATTAAGTTGAAATTATCATTAAATTTAGTAACATTACTATTAATTCTCCTGCTTGCAGGAGAACTCCTTCAGAAATACCTTAATTGAACTGTTGCTGATAAGCACCAAATGAACTTTTAATTGAACTGTTCATGATAAGCACCAAAGAATGTGTAGATTCGCTACACAATATCAAAAAACTAGAAGGATGAATTTCGAGTTAAAGTACTGATTGCTATTATCAATCAATTAAAAGCAGCATTGGGTCACAGACCTGCCGCATATTCAGATGTGTTAAGCAGATTTGGGTTCATGAAAAATTTGAAAACATCGGCTCTTATCGAAGTTATAAAAAATTGTGATACTTTAACAGCACATTACTCCAATGACATTGAAGTCAGCTTGGAAGAAGAATTTTGGTCTTACGCATTCATAAAACAAAGCTGATGATACAAAAACAAGCAAGAGGTTGTTGATGTACCACATTTTGCTCAATAATGGTTTGGTAGAAGCTTTTCCAAACGTTGCATTACCTTTTAAAATTTAACCCAACCTAATGGTGGCAAATTATACAGGAGAAAGAAGTTTCTCGCAATTAAAACGCATAAAAAAATGAATGTATATAAAAAACTAGAACTAATCAAGAGCGACTCGACATTTGATGTGTATTGAAAATGAGGAAATCAGAATACTCTCATTCGATGCCATTGTTGAACAATTTTCCAGATAAAAATCCAGAAAACTTCACTTTAATTTTTATATACATGACTGAAATATTAAATGCTACATTCCAATCATTATTTTTGCCAAAATTGGCCACCAAATTGTTTGTGTCTCTGAACCCAGATACCCTTATTCCGCCCCTGATGTTATTATAAGGGTTGAAATACTTCAGTCAATTGGATGCAATATCGTATAGCTACTCAGTAATTAATCTGAGTGTCCACGTATGTTGAATCGAGTGAATGAATGAATATAATAAGAGAATTTTAAGTGTCCGAATATCTTACTCCTACTTTTTCGGGTCGCTGTCAAGGTTTATAGAAAGAAAACATTTGCGGCCCTTTAAATTATTATAAAGCCGTAAGTGGGTAGCCGTGTTTAAGGAAGAGAGCTTTATACGAAGGTTACTTCCTTAGCTAGGTGGCATGGTTTTAGCTCACCATGTTGTGCGTGTGTTTAACAGAACACGAAGCTATTTTCCTACTGGAAAACTTATATATGGGTTTTCACAAAAAAAAGGTATATCCTTGTTCCAAAAAAATTATATTTGTGATATTGATGAATAAAATTTTTAGAATTTCATTGACATGAAATTCAGAAAATAAAAAACAAATCTAAATTAAATCTATTTTTATATTGTCTTTTTATCATTTTTTCGGGGTTAAACGTTCCCATAGTCTTTGAATTCGTATTATTATTATAATGCTGGACTGGCTATTGCCAAGTATTCTTTTTTTATTATAAATTAGAATTTATAATTATTAGCAATATCCTACATTATTGCTTTCATGTTATTTACTCATAAAATAGAATCTAGACAGGTTTTAAAAGTACTATAATATCTTATGTTCATAAAAGCAATTAAGATGAGGTGTGCTAAGATAGGAAATAAATGTAATACAAATTAACAAGGTAATCAAAAATAAAAATCGTCTGATGGCATATAATTATTTTCTATACAAAATTATTGATTGGTATAAAAAGAGCATTTTTTTAATTATCTGTATTGACTGTAGGATTACCTATTTATATATATATATGTATATAAATATATATTTATATATATGTACGCACACTTATATACACACACACACACACACGCGTGCACACATTGACTAAGGATTTGAACTGGAACAGCAACCTTTTTTTGTTGTTGCTATTATTCTTTTTCTGAAAAGCTGTATGGAATTAAGTAACCAAAAAAAGTTGAGCAGTTATGCAGTCTAAAATAATTCTATTATCACACTCTCGTTTGTGGAGACTTCATAATTATTAATAACATAAATAATATAAATATTATTTATAAATTAATAACATAAATGTTTATTATAAATTTTATAATTATCGTTGTTAATATTTTTTTGTGATCAATAATAACTATTATTATTGTAAATATAAGACTAATCATTATAAATAATTGTTACTATCATTTATTATTATTACTTTATTGATATGCTTTATTTATATCGACTATCTTATAGCCTGACTCGCAACAGAGTGCTGCTACATCGACTGACAAATAGCCTGACTTGCAATGGAGTGCTGCTACATTGAAATAATAAAAAAAAAAATTCTGGTCTTGCATTTAAATTTTTTTTTTTATGTCAACAAAATATCGGAAAACTTTCTGACAATGTTGCAAGAGTCTGTATATATATATATATATATATATATATATATATATATATATATATATATATATATATATATATATATATATATATATATATACTTTTTTTGAAATTGTCTGCTGCCACCCCCTAAATGTGTTCTATGTAATAAATTAACACTAAATTAAAAAAAAATTTAAATAGAAAAAAATTTTAGGGGTTGCTTAAGACCCTTAAACATCAAACAAGTCCCTAATATTTTGGAATAAAAAGTTCTTTTTAAGTATATCATGTTGGGTCTCAAAAGATGTGAAATTTTATAAAAATTTCAAAAATAATAATCATTTTATATAAATTAAAAGTACATATTTTCAAAGTTTTTTTAAATAAACTTTTTTAATTTGTGTTTCCATAAATTGTTTTTATTATTTTTGAAATTTTCATAAAATTTCACTTCTTTTGAGACCCAACATGATATACTTTTGAAGAAAGTTTTTTTTTTCAAAATATTAGGGACCCGTTTGATGTTTAAGGGTGTTGAGCGACCCCTAAAATATTTTTTTATTCAAATTTTTTTTAATTTAGTGTTAATTTATTACATGTAACACATTTAGGGGATGGCAGCAGCAAAAAAAATTAACAAGATGGTCATTACTAGGCCGTTGTGCGCTGTTTAATTTAAATAAAAAAAAAAAACAGACAAAAAAGGCTTTAGATTGCAGGGTTCCCACTCCTCCTTAAAAACCTTAAATAGCCTTAAAAAATTAAAACCTCCTTAAATGTCCTTAAATAACCTTAAAAAAGTTAAAATTTGACTGCTTTCCTTAATTTGTCTTTATTATTATTATTTTTTTATCATCTAGAAAAATTTTTTAAAGTGAATGGATAATACTTGTTAATAAAGAAGATAATATATAGATTTTTGATAGTTTTCAAACCCATTTTTGTCATTATATATATATATATATATATATATATATATATATATATATATATATATATATATATATATATATATATATATATATATATATATATATATATATATATATATATATATATATATATATATATATATATATGTATGTATGTATGTATGTATACTGTGTTTAAATGTGTTTAAAATAGTTTTATTGTTTACAATATGCTACTTAAATTCACTTTGCTGACAAATATTATATATGAAGTAAACTCTATCATTGTTTTGCTCTACTTTTTTTAGATTACTTTCATTTTAATGGTGGTAAAAATTATTTTTTCATAAAGTTCTTACTTTATTATTATTTTAACAAAAATATTTATTACATTTTTTTAATAATAGTATCATAATATATAATAGTTGCTGTACTTAACTACAAGCCTTTCTGGGAAGCACTTGCGGTCGCACGCCTTGTTCGTCCACAAATAAAGTAATTTTTTTAGACAAACTGACCAAGGCATATCACATCTTTTAACAAATAAGGCGTTTTGATATCTAGCAGCAAAAAGCTAAACTTATCTACTAAGAAAAAAAAACAATCCTAAAAAGTTAATAAAAAGTAAAATAAAATTTTTGTTTTGTCTTTTTTAGAGTCGTTGAATAAAACATTATCTTTTATAACAATTTAACAACAATAGAAAGTTTTGATATGCAATTTATTTATGATTTTTATTAGTCCATAAAAGTAACTAATTTGCTATGTACTATAAGAAATATTATAAGAAATTTTGTTTATTTTTTTTTGTTTATTACGTTATTATGTTTATTACGTTTAGTCGTTAATTTATAATAAGTATAATAATAAAAAAGATATATTTTAAAATAAATTAAAATAAGTTTTTTTGTTTTGTTATAAAATAACTATAAAAAGTTTAAATTAGTTTTTATATATTTTTAAACTTCTCTGACTTTAATTTTGTATATTTTGCACAAGAAGTCATGAGCATTTAATAAGAAAATATTGATTAAGATTTCAATAAGATATAAAAGTATTTTAGGGGAGGTCAGGGGATTGATGGCCTCTAGGGTAATTATGGACATATGATATTTCTATATTTGTATAATTTAAGTGAGATTTTTTATCTGTACTGGTTCCTATGTTCTACTAGAAGAACTAATAATTGATCCTAGTTCTTGGTTCTTCCTACATAAGTGGTGCTAGTTGTCTTATGTTGTTAACTGTCATTTACATATTAGAAATAAAAAGAATTATTGTAGTATTAGGTATATAAATGTTAAAGACATTAAATAACATATATACAATAATAAGAAATACACAATAATAAGAAATATAATTATTCTATTTTTTAAATATATATAATGTAAGTATCTTCTTATTTTGCAAATATATTTTTATTTTTGTTAATAAAAAGTGATTTATTTTGGGGTTATGATTTTATACGGCCATGATTGCCCTGTATAAAATGGCTAGAAAATAGAAAAGTCTTAAGATATTTGTTTGGTTTGTGGAGAATTTTGTAAAAACCGAGAATGGTGGGTAACCTGTGCTGCATGTGGTGACTGGGCCCACAAAGACTGTACAGATCTCCTCCATAAAAACGATGTTTATATTTGTATTTAATAGTAATATTGTACTACTTATTTTTATTAATTCTTAAACTCAAACTTATTCTCTTAAACTATTATAAAACTAATTTTTAATAATTATTATTCTTGTTTTCATTATTCGTATTCGACAAAAGAATTGGGGTTATGCTGACCAGGCTGCCACAGTTGCCCCAAAGTTATGGGGTAATACTGGCCGTTTGTTTAATTTTTTTCTTGTAATAACACGTTAATTATTTTTTGTACGTATTTCCCAATAAAGTACTTTATAATATACATTTTAGTAATTTTTCTACCATAGTTACAGCTCGGACCATTATAATATGAACCTAAAAACGGCAAAAAACTTTAAGGGGCCACCATTCCCCCGACCTCCCCTATATCATATTTCACAATTCCTTTTATATAAAATATTTGATCACCATTAAATTCTTTTAGACTGTTGTAAAAAGCAGTTGTTTTTTAATAATTATATTGTACTTTCATTTTCTAGTTTTATCTGATGATTTATAAAATGAATTAAAATATTAAATAAATATTAAAAGTTTAAATCATAATTTTTAATAAATGATAAAAAAAAATCATAATATAATACAATTTTATGTCACAGTTCAAGATCAATATAAGTATTTTTTATTGAATAACAACTATTGAATTTAGTGATAAAAAGAGAGTTTACAGTTTTTAAAAAGTTAAAAATTTAAAGGCATTTTCAGATATTGCAATTCCCGATTTCTGGAAATGTTTCCGACCTTTAAATTATTTATTTATATTAGAGTTTTTTAAAACTTTGTCTTCTTACTATTACTTTAAATATTATTAGCGCATGAGAGTTATTAACATAATTATTAAGTAATTAACATTAACAATTTTTTAAATGATTTTAATGAGCAGAGATCTAAAATGTGAAATTATTACTTTTTAAACTCTGTTGACAAACATTGAAGTTCTTATTTTATTGTTTTTATTGTTATTTGACTTTTATTATTCGGTGATTGGCCTAACCAATAAAAGTCCAAACCAAAACCAATAAAATAACTTTATTATTTTCTTTTATATTTCCGTTCTCATACACCCATTTAAGCAACAGGAAATTTTTTTTTATCTAAATTTTTGCTAAATTTCTTTATCTTGATTTTTGCCTTTTGTGTCTTTGTAATATTTGGTTAGAACTGCCTTCCACACTTGCTTAACATGGCAATAGACACTTCTGTCCAGTGACTGAAGATAGACACTTCTATCCAGTGACTGAAAATGACATGGCAATAGACACTTCTGTCCATCAAGATATAAAATATGAGTACCACTAATAGCTTGAAATTCTGGTATATAGACTTCCTTTAACTATTCAATAAATGTGTCATGCTCCCTCTAACCAGTATTATAAATTGAATATTTGGTGCCAGTCGGACCACTTAAAGCCTACTCAGCTCTAAAGTTTCATTTTGCTTTGTATACCCCAAATGGTGATGTAAAGTATCCATCAGCATTACAGCAATTGTTCACTGTATAGTGGATTTTTTCATTGTTACCAGTAAGTTACAAAACAAGCTTTGCACCTTTTCGACACTACAGAAACCCTTTTCATTGCAATTCCAAATGTGAGAACCAGAATTAATACAAGACAATTGATATTGTTTAGCAACAACTTCAAAATAATTATCATTTATTTCTTGCGTACAAGAAGCGGCTCTGGCAGATGCTAAATTGTGAGTTTTTCTTGTGAAACATTCTTTAGACTATCAGTTCATAAATGCATAAAACCAGCCTTTGCCAAGCCTGCTGTTTTTAAATAGGCCTGATTGATTTGTGCAAAGAAGGTAACTGCATATAAAGTCTATGACATCATTTTATGTTAAACCAAAACCTCAATCACATAAGAACTTTAACGCATGCACCATCTGTTTGCTGTGAGAGTATGGTTGTTGATCTGAAGCAAGCATTATTGTTAGAGTTGAGAATAGAATGCCATATTTGATTGCAGCTTTTCTGATTAAAGTATTTTTTCTTTTATATCATTTAATGCAACTTCTATATCATCTTTATTGTATGACTTTTACTTGTCATTTTGAAAGTGAATAATTGATAAATAAATGACCATTGAGTCATTTTTGTAAAATAATTTTATATAGGAAAAACCCGAAACTAACACATAAGAAAATCCAAAAATTTATTTCACATAGGTAACTAATTTAAAAATTCACATACTACTTAATAAAGGAATTTAAAGTAAATATGCGAATGATCGGTTGTACCAGAAAAAATTTATTATTATATTTTCTTACTTTTTTGTCTAATTTTTAACTATAAAAAATGTAATCAGTATTAAAATTAAATTTTCTGCAAGATAGGGGTAAAATTATTTTTAAACAAATTATGGTTTCCAAGTTATTATGATAACAAAAGATCTTTTTAATACACAATATTTTTATTTGCATTTTTTATTTGCATTTTAATATAATTACAACAATATAACTTATAAAAAATCTTTTTTATATACATTTATAAAAATTTATTTGTTTAAATTTGAAATAATATATTTGCATTTTTAATATAAATACAATGTTTGATAACTTATATAAAATCTTTTTTATATACAGTTATAATAATTTAATTGGTTAAATTTTATTTGATTTATGGTTTATTTAAAAGCTATATCTTTTTAAAGGTCACCAGCTCATACCAGCAACATTGAGTAGACTTGAGCATTCGTACCAGGTTGGTGAAGAAGGACCAAAACCTAAAAATTGGTTTATGAAAGTCCTTGATACAATTACATTTCAAGAGGAAGAAAAGGTTTGCTACTTTTCTTTTTTTCTTTTACTGTTTTAGCTACTTAGTAAATACATATACACACACAGCTATATATATATATATATATATATATATATATATATATATATATATATATATATATATATATATATATATATATATATATATATATATATATATATATATATATATATATATATATATATAATTAGGGTCAGCATTCTGCAATGTTGACTTAACTGCCGACCTATATGTGTTTGCAGTCGGCAAAAAAAATAAGGTTTTGCCTACCTCGTTTTGATGTTTTATGGTAAGACCTTTGCATTTGCCAACCTGATGCCGACCTTTAAAAGATTGAGGTCGGCAAATTATTGCCGACCTCAATTTTTCTAATTCCAAGGGTTGATATATATATATATATATATATATATATATATATATATATATATATATATATATATATATATATATATATATATATATATATATATATATATATATATATATATATATATATATATATATATATTTTTTTTTTTTTAACATCTTCACTTCCAACAAGGCTGCAAGCAACCACTATAAGAGTTGGAAGTTACTGGAAGAGAAAAGACTAAATCTGTAGAGCAAGATAACGATTGACTGATGACTTAAAAGATTGCAAATTATATGAATCAGGGAAGCAAGATGAAGGAAGCGAATTCCAAAGAACTGATGTTCGAGGGAAAAAACTAGAAAAATAAGAGTTTTTGAAGCACTTAGGAACAGTCACAGAAAAAGGATGAGACTTAATTGAATGGCGAGTAACACGAGAATGAATTTTAGTAGATGGCACAAGGGGCGCTAGCTCTTTAGAGCAGTGCCCATTATAGTACTTGTAGAAAAGAGAAAGAGAAGCAACATCACGACGATGTGACAAAGGTTGGAGATTGGCTGCCAGAGCAGGTCCAACTATGTTTACAATGCGTTTTTGCACCTTGTCTAAAAGAGAAAGGGCATCATTAGAAGATCCGCCCCTGATATGGCAACAGTATTCCATACAGGGACGGATTTGAGATTTATAGAGATAGAGAATAGAATCTGGAGTAAGAAAGTGTCGAGCTCGATAAAGAGATGCAACCTTAGCAGATGCTAATTTTGCAATGGATTTGATATACGGTTTAAAAGAAAGATCAGAAGTAAGAGTTAATCCTAGAAGATGAATGGTAGATGACTCATCTAGTACATTACCATTCATAAATATAGGAAGATCTAAATTATTACGATAACGATTGGCCGAATAAAATTGAGTTTTATCTGAATTAAAGTTCACCAGCCACTGTGAGCCCCATGCTGTAGCAGAAGTGAGATCCTTTTCAAGCTCAGATACCTCCTCCAGGCAATCAGAGAGTGTAGGCTTCTTATCATGACAAGAGTAAATGGTAGTGTCGTCAGCGAATAATGCCACCTTAGATGTGAGAATATCTGGAAGATCGTTAATGTAAATTAAAGAGTATAGGACCAAGGATTGAACCTTGAGGAACCCCTGAAGTTACAGGATGTGAAGAAGAGTGTTGTCCATCGAGGACAACTTTTATACTACAATTGGAAAGAAAGGACTCAATAATCTTAAAGATGTTACCAGATACACCATAAGAAGAAAGCTTATGGAGAAGACCAGCATGCCAAACTTTATCAAAAGCTTTAGAAATGTCAAGTGCGATAGCCTTAACCTCTTCACCTCTATCTAATGCACGGTAAAACCTATCGGTTATTACTGTTAGCAAATCAGCTGTAGAACGAGAAGATCGAAATCCATATTGATGATCAGAAAGTAAGTTATTTGATTCAAGATGAGAGATTAAGTGTTTGTTGATTAAAGATTCAAAAACCTTGCTTATGACAGGAAGAAGACTAATGGGGCGGTAGTTAGATGAATCAGATTGCTCCCTGGAATTTTTGAAAATAGGAATAACAGATGCTGCTTTCCAGCATGATGGAAAACAAGACTCTGATAAGCACTTGTTAAATAGTTTTGAAAGTATGGATGAAAGCTCCGGAGAACACTTCTGCAAGACTACAACAGGAATGTTGTCAGGACCACAAGCTGTTGAAGAGTCTAAGCAGGAAATTACTTTTGATACAGAAGCTGAAGTGATGCAAATGTCAAGGGATCAACCTGTTTGACGGCTATGTCAGGTCGAGCGCAACTAGTGGAATCAAGAGATGATATTGATGAAAAGTTCTTAGCAAACAATTCAGCTTTGTCTTTAGGTGAGGTAACAAAGTCTGAACCATACAAGAGAGAAGGAATAACAGATTTGCCCTTATTATTGATACTGTTAAAGATTCTCCAGAAGTCTCGAGAGTCTAATTTTTGTGATGAGATACGAGATTTTATGACCTGAGAATAGCGAGCTTTGGCGTCAGACAAAACCTTTTTACAATGTTTCTGGCGATAGTGAACAGATGTCTGTTTTCTGGAGAATAGTTTAGCTGATAGATATGAAAGTAACGGTTTCGATTAGAAATTGCTGCAGCGCAATGTGAGGAAAACCAAGGAGAAGAGTGAGGCTTGACCTGGAATTGTCGAGAGGGAATAAAAGATTCCATGCCAGCCTGAATCCATGAAGTTATGTAAGAAGCACATTTGTCAGCAGGAAGACGAAAGATTTCTACCCAAGGGCCATCAGGAAGAAAATCACGGAAAGAGTCCCAGTCAGCATTAAGGTAGTTGTATGTGGTACGATGATAGGGGGATTCTGATGAAGTAGAAGAATTTGATAATAGTTTTAGAGAGATCAAACCGTGATCAGAAGCACCTAAGGGTGAATGTGGAGAAATTGAGCACTGACTAGGATCCAAAACAAGATATAAGTCGAGTAGAGAAGGTAAATGATTAGGGTTGTCTGGAAAATGAGTTGGAAAGTTGACTATTTGAGTTAGAGATTGAGAAAGGCGAAAGTTGAGGGCCTTAACGCCTGACACTAGAGCCAAGCCAATCGGTGTGATGGGCATTAAAGTCACCAACAACAACAATATTGGCCGATGGATAAAGAGAGAGGGCTTGGTCAATTTGATCAGAAATAACATCGAGAATAGTGCAATCTTGGGATGAAGGAGAGCGATATAGAACAAAGAGAAAGGCGATAGAGTGAAGTGGTGCTAAACGAAAGCACATAAAAGAATAGTCTGTAGATTCAAACCTAGTTTCACGACAAATGGGTGAGTTCTTATGTAGATGCCCAGGCCAAGCATGTTTAATATAGATGCCCAGGCCAAGCATGTGATTATTGGAGTCTTTACGAATTAAAGGAAGATAACCATCAGCACTAAGATTACAAGATGGGACAGCCGAACTCAAATTAGTCTCACAAAGAGCAAGTAGGTCTGGTGAACTTTGCAAGAGATAAGACTCAACAGAAGAAAAGTTACTTCGAAGACCACGAATATTAATATTCGTTTCTTTTTTTTTAAGTTTTTTTTTTAAGTTACTTCGAAGACCACGAATATTAATATTCGTGGTCTTCGAAGTAACTTTTCTTCTGTTGAGTCTTATCTCTTGCAAAGTTCACCAGACCTACTTGCTCTTTGTGAGACTAATTTGAGTTCGGCTGTCCCATCTTGTAATCTTAGTGTTGATGGTTATCTTCCTTTAATTCGTAAAGACTCCAATAATCACATGCTTGGCCTGGGCATCTACATTAAACATGCTTGGCCTGGGCATCTACATAAGAACTCACCCATTTGTCGTGAAACTAGGTTTGAATCTACAGACTATTCTTTTATGTGCTTTCGTTTAGCACCACTTCACTCTATCGCCTTTCTCTTTGTTCTATATTAGTAAATGATAGGTTTAGAGAACTTGGTGATGACGATGGTTTTTTGTGTTTTTTAGTTTTAGGTACTTTAGTCATTTTAAATTTATAAAGAACTTGACTCAAGTATAGATAGTACTCAGTACACTATTTAACAACTAAGCAATAGCCTCATTACTATTAATAAACCCTAAGCCGTAACAAAGGGCTCCAAATGTGGCTTCTACAATGCACACCAAAAGTACGAACAGGGACACCATCCATGCGCAACATGGCACTGTTAGTACTCTGATATTTTTCGGCTGTTGATGGAATCAGCCTCTCTGAGAGCTACCACAGAGTTCGGGAAACCTTACTACCAGCCGGCCTCAGAACCATAAAACTGAGTTTTAGAGCTGTACCCTCATTAGGAGATAATAGAATGAGTTGCCCAGTCATAAAAATAGAGACGCAAGCAATACCCACGCATTGAGTCAAGAAGATCCAGCGTTCAACATCCTAAACTGGAAACAATGTATTAAAAATACATCTGCGCCAGCCTAATAGATGAAGAAGGGGTGCAAGACTGGTCAACAGATAAAATCTGTTTACCCCTTAATTCTTTGCCTAGGAGGCTTTCTACAAGACAGTAGCCGATGCATTTAACATCTGCCCAAGATGAGTATTTTTATTGAGACACCATCTCTAGCCTTTACTCAACCAAGAGCCCCAAAGCAGGGGGTGTTTTAATTCGGAGTTAACTTCTCCTAGCCTTTGCCTTAAAAAGCGTATCCTACAAGGCAGCAGGACATGGAGCAGGTTGTACTGGGTTACATGTTACCATATATATATATATATATATATATATATATATATATATATATATATATATATATATATATATATATATATATATATATATATATATATATATATATATATATATATATATATATATATATATATATATATATATATATATATATATATATATATATAAACACACACACATACAAGCACTAGTTGTACTGAATCTTACACAACAAGTCAATTAACCAACTCATAAACTGAAACACAAAATAGATGTGGTAATTCATAAGCTAGAAAAGATATCAGTTAGTATGTTAGCTGTGACGGACTTGGATTATATTTCTCATAAATTAAAACAATGAATAAAAGAAAGAAAAAAGCAGTTTCTAATTTAGTATTCATTAGCAAGTTAATAGAAGGAGTAGTTTCAAATCTTCT